CCCCCCCCCCCAACCAAAAACGGATAAGTAATTAAACTCATCTTGCAAAAAAAGTCTATTGAATGTTACAAGAGATGGCAAAAAATGTATCGTTATCGGAATACCTTGGATTATTTGTTGTAAGTAATGTAGCAGTTCTTGATCAAGTACAGTTGCAATGTATTGCAATCAATAGAATCAATATAAATCAATGACGTTATCAAAAAATGTTGAAAATGTTATTAAAAAATAAAACATTTATCCCTGAGTCTTTCATTTCTTACTTTTCTGCTTTCTGAGAACAGAAATTGCTTATGTATCTTAGATCATCCCTTAAACTTCAGTTTCGGCCTGGGAGGGGCGACAAACGTTGCTCAGGGGCACTCATTCAAACAAATGATCCTTAAATGAAATCATAATACGAGAAATACTTATATAGGGAGAGAGATAAAAAAGGCCACGCAATGAGATCTTAAATGTAGATGTCAATGGCATGGCTCCATTCGCAAAGACATGTCAACTACATCACGAGCAACAAAAACGAAGAAGAGGAATACATTAATTTTTCTCCACAGTTCCTCTCAAAAATTTCAGTGCGCGCTGTTTTCCCTGTTGGCTATATTTGGTTTTTCCTGTTGACTATATGTCTGAGTAGCTAGTCTCTGTTATTTTCATCCAACTTTTTTCAAATTAACATGAGAGCTTTCCTATAATTTGTCTCGACCATATTTTAATGAAAAATGCTCCTTTTTATTTCATGCGCCAGTCTTAAAAGGCCCATTATTAGGACGAACCATTAAGTTAACCCGACCTTAATAAAGCTAATATTGTTTTTTAACAAATTTCAAATACTGAAATCAACTTTAAAATCTAGTCTCCAAGCTAACTGTAAATGAAAAAAACATATCGATTTCTATCAACATTATTTACTCATCAATATTTTCTTGTCGTGTTGGCTGCTTTTAGGCCGGATTTGTTAAAAGATATTCATTTTTAAACATTCCCATCATTTGCAACTTATTTAGGCATCGACTAGACTGATTATTTGGTAAAATAACAACCTAATACGCC